TCCCGCCCCGCGCCGGCTCGCGCTCCCCTCTCTCGCGCACCGGCTTCCCCGGCCTCAGCGCGGGGCCGGCCTCGCGCCGCTCCCGGGGCGTCCTCACGTCCCTCGCCTCCCTGGGCATTACGTCGCAGGTCGAGTTCTCCATCCTTCCTCCTTATCTCCCTCCGCCACAGCCTCTCCTGTTCCTTTTCTCACTCACTTCACTTGCTTATCTGTCCGTCTCGGCCTTTCCCCCTCCGCTCTGTTTTCTCTTCCCTGACACCTCGGTTTTCCCTTCTCCTGGCGGGAGGCTCCTGGCTGCCCACACCCTCCTGCTCCAGGAAGGAAGTTCTTCACCCGTCCGATCTCGAGCATTTGTCTGAACTCCCCCTGGTGCCCGGCACTGTGCTGGCTGCCGGGGAAGCAGAGATGGATCTGACCCAGGACTTCCCACCTCCAGGGACATCGTAGCCTAGTGGGGGCGCAGGTAATCATAACGGCCATTCACGGAGCTCCCAGGGCCGTAGACACGGCGCAGCACTTCACGGCTTTATCACCTACTATTTCTATTGCTAGTTAATGCTTATTAGATCCTTACTGTGTCTGTTCTAAGCACATCGCATAGGTTACCCTGTTTAATTCTCAGAGCAATGCTATAACAAGGCGAGTGGGTAGTTATTATCCCCACTTTACAGATAAAAGTATCCAGGCAAAGAGAAGTTAAGTAAGGATAGGGGCCAGGACTTGAACCCTGGTGGTCTGGTTCCAGAGTCAGAGCCAGGGCACAACCAGGAGGTCTGGATTCGGAGTCTGCAGGCTTCCTGGCTATGGGGTGCTTAGGGTGAAGTAACTGGCCCTCAGTCACATAGCTAATAGGTGAAGGAGCCAGAATTTGAATCCAGGCTTGGGCTCCAAAGAGGCCAGGGCTTAAGTACTCTGCCCGAAGGTAATTTCCAACCCAGGACAGGAATGGCTGTGGGAGGAGGAAGGAATTGAGGATATCCAGGGAGGCATCAGAGAGGAGGCATTCAGGAACCCCATGTTTGCCCCCTGCCTTCCAGTGGCTTTCGTGTGGGAGGAGCCTTTGGACGGAGGCTTGGGGGTGGGGAAGCTTCTTCTTGAGAGCCTGACCTGAGACCTGACCTCCCCGGTCTTTGGTGGGGAGGTCCCCTGGGAATGTGTCTCGTAGGAAGGCTTGGGGAAGTCTGGGGCTTGGGTCTGTGCTTGCCCCTTCCACTCTTGCCCTTATACCTCCTACCCCCATCCTCCTGAATGTTTCCAAGGCTCCTGTCTTCCCATGGATCTGTCCTTCCTGTGGTAGTGGAGAGGGGTGAGGGGCCACTCTTCCTAATGTTCAGCAGACACACATGAAGCACCTACTATGTGCAAGGCTTGGGGTGTGGTGTACACACCACAGATGGGATGCTTTATCTGATCTAGTTGTGAAAAAAAGACAAAAGGCAGGACAGGAGAAACAGAAGCAGTTCAGCAGATAGAGCCCAGGGTGGGAAATGATGGCTTTTGATGTCCAGGGTGATCTAGTTGGGTTCAGGTGAAACAGGCAGAGGACCTTTGCCCTCCTTTCTTCCTCTCCCAACCCCCAGCATGAAGAGGTTCTGTGGATGAAAAGCCAGAAGGTACAGGACCTCTCCCTGCAGGCCCAGGCAGCGGAGTGTAGTAATGGTACAAGAACCAGGACTTTGCAGACAAAATGAGCCAGGTTGAAGTCCAAGTGCACTTTTGCTGAGTGACCTTGGGCGACGACTTAGCCATTCTGACCATCCATTTTCTTGTTTGTAAATGGAACATTCTCAGTAGTTATTGCGAGGGGCCAACAAAATGACGCCTGGAAAGAAAGCCCCCTGCATAATGCCAGCGTATAATAGGCACCTAGGAATGTTAGATCTCTAAGAAATGTATGACTTTAGGGTAAGAATGTGATGTGTGTTCTGAAAGCTTCCTTGGCCTTGGCTCTGGTCTGGGGCTCTGAGCAGCGATGCTGTTCTCTGTGCTCCAGTTCGCTCTCATCCCTGATTCAGGCTTGGCAGGGTTTCTGCACTTCGGGGAGGTGTGGTCCTGGGCACTGGCAGGGAGTGTTGGCGCCCCCCCAAGTGGTCGTGCAAGGTGCAGGCTCCCTGGGCAGCTGGTCGCCTGTGCTGTTCTTGGAGTCCCAGTGCCCGGCCTGTTCCTGTTGCTGGTTATGTAAGAACTGTGCAAGGCCTAAGAGCCAGGTGAGTCTGTCCCCGGCAGCTCACGGGCTTCTAAGGGCAGAGGGGCCGAGCTGGGAGCCTCCTGGAAGGGGAAGATGGGCAGTCTTTGCCCGACAACTCTGCCTTGGGGACTCCCAAGACTCCCTGACATGTGAGATTAAGGAGGGAAGGCCTTCGCAGGAATGAAGCCTAGGTGGGGGCTGTCAGGAAGAGCCCTCTCTCCAGCCAGGTCAATGGGTCACCCTGGCTCTGTGGCCCGGGCAGGGAGGAGGCTGCACTCTGATGTCATGTCTTTTCCTGATGAGCCTGTTCCAGGGCCTAGGCAGCTGTGGGGAACGCTTGGCACGCTGGGCATCTGTCCATCTTGGAGCTTCTGCAGTCTGTCCAGGTGCACGTTTCCCCGAGGTGATTGAGGGACCGACCGTTCGTTCAAAAAAAAAAAGCGTATCTGTGGTTTGTCGTGAGCAAAGGTCTACATAGATGCCTGTTAGATCAAACTTGTTAGTTATGTTAGCAAATCTACGTTTTTCTACTTTTTTATTGCCTACTTCAGTGATTCCCCAAGTGTGGTCAGAGTTCTCCTGAGGGGCCCCAAGTCCCTTTAAGGGAAACTACAACTGTCAGAATTGTATGCAATTCAGAGATTCACTCTAAACAAGATAGACTAATGGATCTTAAGGTAACAGGGTAAGAAAAGTTTATTGATATGGATTCGGATTCTACATTACAACCAACATTTAAGGAACTGTCACATGGCAGGTTTTTAGTAGTATCATAGAAGAATATGTACAATATCTGAAAAGGCTGTTGAAATATTCTATTTTGCAGCTACATTTCTATGTGAGGCCAAATTTTCTTCATATGCTTCAAGCAAAACAACACGTAACAACAGATTGAATGCAGGAAGAGGTATGAGAATCTAAATCTATTAAACCAGACATGAGAGAGATTTGTAAAAATCAAGACAATGTCACTCTTTTCACTATTTTTTTTGTTTTGTGAAATATAATTATTTTCCACAGAATTTGTTATTTATGTTAACATATAAGAGGTTTATTTTTGTTATTTTAAATGGGCTAATAAATAAAATTTCCCTCAGTTTTAATTTTAAACGTGTAAAGATTGGTAGGTATAAAAGCATATAAACAAAAGGTCTTTAATTAATTTAAAAACCTCAATCACTTTTAAGAGTATAAAGGGTTCCTAAGACCAAAAAGTTTAAGAACTGCCAGTTTACATATTTCCTTCCTTCCTCCCTCCCTTCCTTCCTTCCTCCCTCCCTCCCTTCCTCCCTTCCTTTCTTCCTTCCTCCCT